CATGATGAAATACTGCCAAACCTACAAGGCCACCTGTTTCACTCCACCATCAGAACCAGCTTGTCCAGTCATTGAACAGATCAGTGGTCACAGTGTGGTTTTGAAGGTGTCTCAAGCATGTTCTGCGACCAAAGAGCTCAGGTTACTGTACAAAATGAAGGAAGAGAAAGACTGGAAATCTCAGTCTGTGCTACAGAGCCATGACACAGTTACTCTGACAGATCTCAGTCCAGACACGGAGTATGAGATGAAATACTCAGCCGTGGGGAAGCTGAACTACACCGTTCACAGTGATGTCATCCACTTCAGAGTCATAGACAAGAAACTCATCGATGCCACAGAGTCTGTCTTAGAAACACTAAGCTTGATTGAAAACAAGTGCAGTGAACTCATGGACGACAACAGTGCAATCACATTCAGTGCAATTCACAGGAAGATTGAAGACATGATGAAATACTGCCAAACCTACAAACAAGATTTACATAACAGAATTAAATCAATGATTCAGTCCATTCAAGCCTGTGAAAAAGATATTAGTGCTCTAAAAGACCTTCTGCAAGCTCATAATGAGTCTCCATTTAACAAAAATAATCTTACAGCGTGGCTCACAGTGAAAGAAAAGGAATTAAATGCAGTGTATTTGTTTCTTCAACAACTGCGTGACTCTGGAGCTGAAGTGAATAATAACTTAGACACATTTTTGTTAGACATTAGCATAAAGAATTTGGTGTGCTACACATTTAGTTCTCTTGGTCTGCCAGACGACTTGCTTTCTGATCAACAAAGTTTCCTGAAACCTCAAATGATGAAGAGAAATTTGGAGAAGAAACCTAATGCAGTGTCTCAAACATGGCTCACAGGAAGCATTAGGGAGACAATGAAAAAGCTTTTGAAAATATTTAAAGAGCTGATACTTTCAAATGGAGATCAGCCAACTGTTTGTTTTGGTTACTTCAAAAGAGCACACACTCCATCCTGGTTCCTGTATTCTCCTCTACGAGAATGGATCTGATGAAGCCACCTGTTTCACTCCTCCATCAGAACCAGCTTGTCCAGTCATTGAACAGATCAGTGGTCACAGTATGGTTTTGAAGGTGTCTCCAGCATGTTCTGCGACCAAAAAGCTCAGGTTACTGTACAAAATGAAGGAAGAGAAAGACTGGAAATCTCAGTCTGTGCTACAGAGCCATGACACAGTTACTCTGACAGATCTCAGTCCAGACACGGAGTATGAGATGAAATCCTCAGCCGTGGGGAAGCTGAACTACACCGTTCACAGTGACGTCATCAGAGTTACTACGCACACAAGCAACATCAGAGAGGTACGCTGCTTATTCATGAAATACTCACTGAAGACATTTTTGAGAGTGTTTTTTCTACAGTAACTCTATGTAGCTGTATGGGACTGATAATAGGTGTTTCTGTTTAACTGGTAAAAGTTACTTCTTGCTGCATGTTGTTAGTAATATTAATGATATGAATTGTTTCATTTAGGAGAGTACAAGGAGCAAAATATCTAACAGTAAGTATAACACCCGGAAGAACATTTGTCCAGAGTAATGTTTGTTTTAAATTATGTTTTTTCTTTTTTGTACTGGATTTAAAAGAAACAGGAAATAATTCTGATATTTTGATTATATTTGTATTTGTACTTATTGCATCACAATTTATTTCCCAGAGGGGGTAAACGTTTTCTCCATTTTGACTGGAAAAGCAGCTAATTCTCACAAACATATTATTAGTACTCTGCAATTCCGCATTGAGGATCTGAGGGAAGTTCGCACAGTGGACGAGAGTGACATTATTATGGTTTTCTGTCCTGTTGTTTCCCAAGCTATAACTGACATTGACAAAGCACTTGAAAGATTCAATGGCAAGACAGGTTGTTTGAGTTTATTGTTAGTTTTAAGTAATAAATATTTTTATTATTCTGAATATTCTGGAGTACATGATATTTTAATGGTGAGAACATTATACGAATTTGTCTATTTCCTGAACAGAAACTAAGCTGGCTGTTCTAGTGGTGCTTCATCACACGTTTGACCCAGAGAAAACGGTCCCAGACAGCAGAATATGTGTCAAGAGGACAGATATACTCACAGTGGACTTTCTGTTCAATGAGGATGCAGGATTTCTTAAGTGTCAGAGGAATTCAGATGCAGCTGACAAAGTTGTGAACTGGTTAATACAAGAGGTATTTAAGAGGATGCTCTAAAATATTTCATTTGAAAAACATTTCACTGTTTACTCATAAGCTCATGTTGTAATCATTCTCTACAGGAGAGGCAAATAGGTGTCAAAATACATCCTCGTAAAAGTAGGTTATAATCAATTTTTGTCATTAAATATAACCTCAGAAAATATCAAATTTAAGTAACATTATATTTAACGTAATTATATGTTGCTTATTGTTTTATCTAAATTTCTACAGATTTAACAACAAAAGTTATCTTTACAAACTCAGGACAAATCCAATATCCAGAACGTGAAAGATGCTAATTAAATAAGGTAAATGTTATGTTGTTGTGCTTAAGATGCTGTTTAAAATGCCAAACAGTGTTTGTCCAGATACTGTGACTGAATTTCACTGTAAGCTGTGTGTCTGTAAAAATGTTTATTACTTCCAATTTAAAGGTGACCAAAATGGGAAACAACAAACCTAGTACAAGTAAGTCTGCATCTTATGAGGGATCTCACACAATTACTGCTTGTTTAGTCCCACATATTATTTTTTTTTTTAACTTTTGTCAAGTGTTATTATAGAACAGAATAGCTCATCTTCCTGGACACTATCCTAGAAAAATAAATTCATTACTTAAAAACTGTATTATTATATTTGCATTCATTTTGGTCTGATCATATTTGTACGTTTCCCTGTTTTTCTTATTCCATCCCAATTAATTTTCCAGAAAAGGTCAAAGTGTTCTCCATTTTGGCTGGAAAGATAAAAAACTGTCAGAAGGAATTTTTCGACATTTTGAGAAACCGAATTGAGAATCTGAAGGAAGGTTGTACAGTGGACGAGAGTGACATTATTCTAGTTTTCTGTCCTATTGTTTCTCGAGCTGGAACTGATATTGAAGCAGCACTGAACAATTTCATTGACCCTACAGGTTGTTTGATTATCATCGTCACACTATTTTAAATAAAGTTATTAATTCTCAGAATACTCTGCCTCAAAGTGATACGTATATAAGCATTTCAGATTAAATTATCTTTAATTTGTCTATGTCCTTAAACAGATTCTAAGATAACTGTTCTAGTGGTGCTTCATCACACGTTTGACCCAGAGAAAATGGTCCCAGACAGCAGCCGATGTGTCAACAGGACAGATATACTCACAGTGGACTGTCTGTTCTATGAGGATGCAGGATTACTGAAGTGTCAGAAGAATTCAGATGCAGCTGACACAACTGTGAACTGGTTAATACAGCAGGTTTCGTATTTATTAATGCCATTTTTCTGGACAGGCACGGGCAGTGGGACCTCCAAAACAGAAATCTAGTAGGTTAAAATTATTGTCTTTGGTTACATGTGATATAATTATGACTTTAATCAAAACAAAATTTTAAATCAATATATCACATCTCAAATAAAATAAATATGTTATCCAAAAATTCTATTTCTAAGACATTAATTTGTAGTATTTTTGGATAACATATTTATTTTAAATCAATATATCACATCTCAAATAAAATAAATATGTTATCCAAAAATTCTATTTCTAAGACATTAATTTGTAGTATTTTTGGATAACATATTTATTTTAAATCAATATATCACATCTCAAATAAAATAAATATGTTATCCAAAAATTCTATTTCTAAGACATTAATTTGTAGTATTTTTGGATAACATATTTATTTTAAATCAATATATCACATCTCAAATAAAATAAATATGTTATCCAAAAATTCTATTTCTAAGACATTAATTTGTAGTATTTTTGGATAACATATTTATTTTAAATCAATATATCACATCTCAAATAAAATAAATATGTTATCCAAAAATTCTATTTCTAAGACATTAATTTGTAGTATTTTTGGATAACATATTTATTTTAAATCAATATATCACATCTCAAATAAAATAAATATGTTATCCAAAAATTCTATTTCTAAGACATTAATTTGTAGTATTTTTGGATAACATATTTATTTTAAATCAATATATCACATCTCAAATAAAATAAATATGTTATCCAAAAATTCTATTTCTAAGACATTAATTTGTAGTATTTTTGGATAACATATTTATTTTAAATCAATATATCACATCTCAAATAAAATAAATATGTTATCCAAAAATACTACAAATTAATGTCTTAGAAATAGAATTTTCTTTTTGGAATCTGGACCCTTAAAAATTACTATTGTAACCTAATATAGTTATATACTCTCAGAAGAAAAAAAAAAAGATTACAAAAGCTGTCACTGGGGTGGTACATTTTACAAAGGTACCGCCCCAGTCACAGCATTTGTAGCCTTTTTTTCAGAGAGTGTGTAAAATATTTTTGAATTGAATAAAATCAGTTAATTTAGATGTTACATGAGGAACATTTTTCGCTTATTTTTTCAGCTATTTTTAGAATGTGTTATTCCATAAACCCTGTATTCAGTCAATGTGTGTTTCTTTAACATGAGTTAAAAATGTACTTCATGTGACTTTATATCATGGTCTGGTTTTATAAAGGTTTTTTTTTCCAGATGTGCAAGAGATAACATGCAGTTCCTCCCGTCCAGTTAATTGTTTTATCCATGTGACTAAAGACACATGCAAGTGTGATGAGGACTTTAAAGAAGCTTTAGACAAACGGGTGCAGCTGAGGAATGTTCCTAGAGTGCAGGACAGTGAAATCATTCTGCACTTCTGTCCTGTTTGTTCACCATCTGACATCAATGCAACATTACAAGAGTACCAAAAGAGACCAGGTGAGATTTTAGAAAATTTAAAATTGGAAAAACAAAGACGCCATAAATATTTGTATTATTCACTCTCATCTTGAATAAATGTGTTCATTAGCTTTAGTATTGATCAGGTTGATATTAGTTTGGTAAATTATCTGCTTTCTTTTAAAATTAGCTTCTTCAACTTTTCTTCATTGCACATGATTTTTCTCAACATTATAATATAGGTCTATTGACAACATCTTTTTGTCTTCAGATAAGCCTGCTGTTGTCATTTTTCTCCATAAGACACTGGATTCAGACTCTGTGCCAAACAGCAGTGGATGTGTGAAAAGCCAGGACGTTTTAGTGGTGGACTGTATTTTCTGTGATGGTGAAGGACTGCCTGACTGCGTAAAAAATCAGGAAGCAATTTCTGCAGTTGCAGACTGGATAAAAAATAAAGTAATACTTCTTAATATTAGTTAAGAAGTTTCTTAATATTATAATATAATATTAGTTATTGCAGACTTCAAGCAGGAGGTGATTCAAAGGTAATAACTGAATGTATATCACAGTAACAATAAATGTGTTTTGTATAGTTTAGAGACCACTAAGGACGGGGAGCAGAATGACACTGAGGATCGATAAATCACCTCATCAACCATTCAGAAAGATCCTGTGACTCTGACAACTACATACCTCAACTCTTCACAGTTGAGATCCGCTTTAGCTTGTGTCTAATTATTATCCAGTTTATTCCAGCCACAGTGAACTAAAAACAGATGTAATTTGTCTCAGACAAATCACTGTCTGTTTTATTGACTCATAGCATGTGCATGAATTGTATTTACAGAAGCCTAGCATGTTGACAGGCATTTACTGTGCAAACCATTATACTGAATAGTTCAAAAGTCCTATTGGCTACTAATGAATGCAAATAAATGACCTGACAATGAGTGTACAAAGGAGTAAATCTCTCCTTGCTGCATAGCAAAGTTCATGTATGATAACAAACTAATGTTCCGTTCTTCTAATTCCTTACATTAATGCAGAGGCAAATATAACTAGTTAAATTCTATGTATTTAATTAAGAGATTTTCAGTGAATTGTTTCTGTGTTGGTGTTAAGTAATTATACTGTATTTAATCTGCATGGTGTATTGATAGATTCTGTCTGCTACTGTGCCTTTACTCTAAATCGTTGCCTGTAATAAGAAAAATACTTATAATTAAAAATCGCAGTAAATTTGGTGTTAAACTGTAAAGTGTGTTTGTGTCTTGTGTTTAACTGTGGAAAATATTTTTTATTAAATAAGGTTTATGTTAATAATCAGTAATATAGACCTAAAAAAAAAAGTGCATCATATATACATAATTTATTATTACGTAACAAATGAAACTACGACCGCCAGTAGGTGGCGGCAAGTCACTGTTTTAAAGAATGAGTCATTGAATCATTGGTTTAGTTCAAAAGGAAGCATGTAACTGATGACTTTTTGAATAGGTCATTTAAAGCAGCATTTCCCAACATATTCCAGTCATGGCGCCCTTTCAAAATCTTCAACAATTTGTGGCACCCCACACAAACACAGCTGCTCTACACTGAAGCTGATGGTTCACTTCAGAAGCATGACACTTCAAGTACTTCTTTAATGACACAGTAAAAAACTACTAGGCTAACTAATAGGCCTAATATTCAAACATTATAATTGACAAGAGAACAGTCAGTCATCAAATATGAACAAACTCAAATTACAACTAGTTTTACTCATTATTAATGAGTAAAACTGGAAAACATCTGCCACACTGAACTAATAGCCTACGTAAATCACTTATACCTCGCTCGGCTTTGTCAGTAATCATATGATTAATTCATGCTTTTTTGATGCAATAATAGGATTACACATTGATTTTCTTCATGGTCTATTCCTGCATCCCTGAACTATATCACCCGTACTGGCCAGCCCATGTATAAAAAATCTTGTTCCGCCACAGAGTCATTTACTGTTGCTAAAGTGAAAATGAAAATATGCAGCAGGTTCCTGGTGTGAAAGGCAAATCGCAGTAAATTTGTTTACTGTTTTTGACAAGATGCTCCTAAACATGAAAAATGCTTATTGTGATGATTCTCTACAGGGGAGGAAAAGGGGTGTCAAAATATGTCCACGTCAAAGTAGGTTAAAGCCACTTTTTGTCATTAAATATAGTCTATATTATTTAATTTCTGTCAAGAAAAAAGATTAACTTTTTCTGCTTTAATGTGAAAAATGTGATGCTTATGTATGATTTCTGTTTTCTCTGCTGTATGTCCTCATGCTCAGTAATGCACCTTAAAAGTCTTTCTTATTTGAAGCAGACAAATTATTCAACAAACCTGTTTCAAGCTGGATTCCACCTGGGAAGACCATGACAAGACAAGGGTCAACAGTGCACTCGTGTTCTGTATTAAACAGAGACAAATGTAATTCATTTGTTTAAGAAATGATTATTAGCCATTAAATGCATAGAAATCACCTCAATACTTTCTTCAATGCAACTTAATAATGTTTTCTTTAATTTCATGTGTGGAAAAACTAACTTCAAATACAGGATGGCAACCCACACTCTCCATCTATAGGGCTTGTTTTTGTTTCCCCAAAACCCCAGTAACTATACAGCTTTTGTAGATGCTTGCTTAGATGAAATGCATATGGTAAATTTATAATAAAAGAGAAAACCAAAAAAATGCAGACGGTCTTCTGAAAATAACACAAAAACTGTGGCAAATCACGAACCATGCAGTGCACTTTTTAAGTCTGAGCATTAAAATCTCTTTAGGTAGGTGGCTCCATCTAGTGTCTCAAAACCTTTATTAACGATAAAAAAATAGCCCAAGTGAACACAAACCTTTAGACGTCTATAGAATACCAAAAATCCCCAGTTAATTATAGTTGAAATATAAAGGTTGACTTTAAAAGTGGACTGTAAAATATTCATTAGTGTATAATCAAATATGTTCAAACTATTTTTATAGATGAAAAAACAATTTAAGCAAACCTGCAAAAGCAAACTCCAAACCAAAATCAAAACTCCACAGCAGACTGATATATACAACCTGTATTTATGAATTAGTGCAGATATCAGTACATAAATGATTTAATGTCTCATTTCAGCTATACAAGTGATCTGCTCATTCCACTCATTTCTCCATCTCCATCATCATCATCATCATCATCATCATCCAAACTCAGTGCTTTGCTGAAGATTGAAACCCTTTTGATAAACATGCACAGCTGTTGCATAGAAATCACCTCTATATTCTCTTTCATGCAACTTAATAGTGTTTTTTTTTATTTCGTGTGTGAAACAACTGACTTCAAATAAAGAAGGGCAACCCACACGCCATACATTTGAGGGCTTTTTTCTTCATTCTTTCAGCAATAAATTGAAATGTAAATACTTACTGGTGAGGTCAAGCTGGAGAGAAACAAAGCAAGGCTTAGCAAAGCAAAACCTGACCACATGGTCTGAAAAAAAAAACAGACAAATATGTGTGTTTAAAAAAAGGTAAATCGAAGAGTTCAACAAAAATTATTTTAGCCATTGCAACACTGAACTCATGTGGCAGCTTTAAGAAATGCATGGATCATGCTCTTTTCTAATACTCCAGATTGTTGTTCAGGGAGAAATTGTGCTTTTTGCAGGCAGACCATAGTCAAGGTCACTCTGAAACAAATGTTGGATATGTAGAAGAGTCAAAAAGTTAAGTAAAATAAGTCCAAATTGTTATTTAATGCTTTGGGAGGGGGAGAGTTGGTAACCTGGTTGATAGGAGTGAAGTTGCTTCAGCAAGACAGCGACATACATAGCAACAATTTGCTAACAGACATTCATTCCCCCTCAGTTACATTTATCAGACACCGATACGCAGTGCAAAACAAGCTTAGTCTCTAGTTATGCAGTTTCTATGACAATGACCAAATACATATCCACTCAGTAGCAGATTTGACCCTAAGCCTGACTGAAGGGTGTGCGACTGTTTTCTGTCGTCATAGGGTATGTGTTCTGTGACAGCAGGAACTCACTTATTTCTGAAAGCAAGCGCACACGATCAGCTCAGCTGTATTTAAAATGCAGATCAATATTGCATGTTTTACTGGAGCTGATCAGGGGTCAAGTGTGTCTTTAAGCAATGTTTTTTGTCATGAGTGTTTTATTCAGAACATACCGAATACAATAATGGAGGTGGTGTCCACATCTCCTTATAACATGCATTCATAAGGCACCCACAGAGAGAAAAAACTGACACATTAGACGAGTCCTAATGTTATTGATCTTCCAAGCAGAGATTTGTAGATTTGTGTTGGATTATTACAAATGTGATTATTCACAGATTTAGGTAAGGACTAGTTTCCACACGGTTTAATCTCAGTTTCAGAAATTGGTTGTTGTATGGCGCTGATATTTGCTGTTGCATAGACAATGAGGCCAGTCGGAGTTTGAACTCAGAAAAGACGTTTGTGCGGTGAAAACAGAGCTTGACCTCACCAATGTGATTTACAATGTAAATTAAAGCATTAGGACCATCGTTACAAATAAGTGGAAAAACAGTTTTTCTTTTAAATGAACGATTCTGGTTTACTCTGATATTTTTATTTGTATCACATCTGTGTAAATATAATTTGCACCTATATATTTTAAGGGGGAAATCATTGTCTTTGTCATAGGAATTGCAACAGCTGTCAAGAGACAGTTTTCTTTAAACTAAACACAAAACAGTCTCTGATGAGGGTTTTAATGGTGATTTCTTTTTACAAGGATCCTGATCTTTTGCCCTGGCCAAAACATAACCGTAAACAGTAAAAGTTGCATTCCCGTATACAAGAGATCCCGAAAAAGGCGGCTAACGCGCATGTTTTCTGTCTGAATTCAGCCAGGGGCACTTTAAACAACTTTTTTTTTTTTACTTATTACATTTTCATACATTGATAAAAATGATATTTTTTTTTGTAATTAGACGCTGCGGCTCATAGACGTAAATCTCGTTTACTAGTATATATACAAATATATATATATATACAATCTTTTTCTTTATAGCATGACAAAGTCACAGACACCCTATTTTATGTGTACTAATCATTTTACAATCAAAGAATGATGTAAGGGGGCAGAGATGATAAAAAGCAGCATTTTTGTACACGTACGGGGGTGTTTGATCGTACTTCCTCTTAGCTCAGGGAAGAATAACCTCACACTTTAAATTTGTATCGTGATAACCTAATAAATACAATCAATGAGATTATACATAGTACATTTGATTTCCTTCTGGATGGAGCTCTATTCACACACACACTGCCACATTATATTCACATTTTGTGATCGAGACTCTTCATCGAGTGTAATTTGGACTGACCAGAGTACTGTGAAGCGTCTCGCATGATTAAAAACCATTACTACAAGCAGCAGGTGGAAGACGTGTACGGCCTCGGGTGAGAGAATGGTGTTCCATAGCAAACATTTTCCCATGATGCACAGTGCGTGTGCGTATGCATGTGTGGGGCTGTGCAAGGATGTCGATCAGGAGGAACTACTTCTACCCTACTACCGCACCAGATTTCTCTCTGAAAGACTTCTCTGTCACTTTCTCTCTCTCTCTCTCTCTCTCTCTCGCACTCGCTTGGAAGAGCAGAGCAGCTAAAACGAGCGGCATCGGCTACTACGTACAGTATATTGCTTCGAGAAAACGCTTCTAAAATATTAAGGGTCATCCTCAATAATCTAAAGTGCCTTTTCTGTGAGAGTCGAGCAGGGCGGCTGAACTGGCCCTCTGATGCTGGGATACGGCCTTATACTGTTCATTTCGTATTCTTTCACAGACAATCTCTTCAACACATTGGCACACGCACACAGACGCACATCGACACATTAAATACGTCGGTCCTGAAATCAGGCTGTCAGGACAAACAGAGCGACAGAGACAGAGAAATGCAAGTCCTGTCTTCTCACTGGAAAGATGGAGGGATGGAGGAGTAAATAAAGGTGTGGAGAGATGAGTCATTTGCTTTTTCCCGAAGTGCTGGAACCCCTGGAACCCCGGTCTCCTCGTTCTCCCCTCTCTCCTCTTTCAGCTCTATCTCCTCTCTCCTTCTCGGATGTGTCCCTCTTTTCTGAGCTTTTGTCCGATGCCTCTATTTTATCCGATCGGTCTGAACGCTCAGACTTCTCTGACCTCTCTGATCTCTCCGCCCCCTCAGATGGCTCCGCCCCTTCAGAACGCTCCTTCCGCTCTGATTTGTCGGGGTCGGTGAAGGAGTTTGTGGCTTTCTCCCACTTGGCAATTTCTTCGATCTCCTTCAGGCTAGCGTTGATGCTGTTGACCCAACCTTTGAGATCCTCCTGTAAGACAGAACACACACACACACACACTCTTGTAATATAGACCACAATAGGCAGAATATTTACCAAACAGCTCTGATCTTTTTCACTCAGGTGGGGCTTTGTCTGACATACCTCATCCTTAGCCAGGAAGATGTAGTCCCCTTCAGCAGTGGTCCTTAAAAAACATTAGAAGCACATACATTTATAAAAAGTGGTAAAGTGTTCAAAGGGAAAGATCATACAGAATTAAGTGTTTGTGGCTTTGGCATACAGTACGCTACAATTCAAATGTTTCTGAAAGAAGTCCCTTATGCTCACTGATTCTGCATTTAATTACAACAACAGCAAAACAGTAATATTGTGAAATATTATCACATTTCCTATTTTAATTTATTTTAAAATGTAAATTATTCCTGTGATGGAAAGGCTGAGTTTTCAGCAGCCATTACTCCAGTCTTCTGAGTCATATGACCCTTAAGAAATCAATCTGATGTGCTGATTTAGTGCTCGAGAAAACTTTCTTATTATTATTAATGTTGAAAACCATTGTGCTGCTCAATATTTTAGTGCAAACTGTGATTTTTTTCAAGATTCTTTGATGAATAAAAAGTTTAAAAAGGCAGTTATTTTAAATGTAAAGTTACAGAGTAACAATGTTGCAAAGATTTCTGTCACGTTTGATCATTTATTTAAAAAAAAAAAAGAAAGAAAGAAAAGGGCAATCCTTCAGTATGTCCCACCCCATATCTTTTTGTTTCAATAGGAAATAAATTAAAACAAAAACTGCAAAAAGCACTGGGATTTTAATGGCATCTTTTCTTAAAATTCAATTCCTGCATGGTTATTTGTCATTGTTGTTTTTTTTAGCTAGATTAGCAGGCAGTACGGTAGTCATTAAAGATCGCACTGAGTTCATTTTACCTGAGAATGAAGACATTCTTCTTCTTTTTATATCCGTTGGTAGTGTCAAATTCGCAGATGGCCAAGTTGAGAAGTGGCTCATCGTTGTAGGGTGTTGTTTTGTGTCGGGAATCCTTGTAGAAACCGATCTCCCCTTGTTTGAGCACGCAGAACAGATTTACCCACGACTTGCTGCAAGAGGTTTAGAAAGTTAGGAATAACTTTGTGAGTTACTAGGCCTCACCAAGGCATTTAGTATTGCTATTAGCAGGCAAACAGACTCATAATGACATTTCTAATGCACTATTAGGCCATGACCACAATTGACAAGTCCCCTCCAATATTCAAAATAGTGGTTGATCACAATATGCATTTTAAACGATGGATTAATTTGTTGCCACATCTTTCACTATTCATTATTCATTTGAATGATAAACCGCATGCCGTATACAACCCTAACCCTATACTGGATGTAGTATACATTCAGTATTTCCAGATCACTCTAAATAAATCTAATTCAGTTAGTGGTTATTCACCATGCTATTTACCATGAGGTACATCATTTACCAGAATGCAATCTTTCTCTAGCATGTAAAATGGCAGGGTAGGTCATGCAGCATCAAGTTAATATACAACAACAGATGTAATTTATGCTTGCGTACTGTGTTTGTATACTATCTACTAGCAATGCATGCTATTCTGAACACAGTTAACATTAGCATAATTAGCTATTAGCTTGGTAACAGGATTTCTAGTGTATTAGCAGTAGCGACGAAAAGCACTTAGATTATTCATAATAAAATTATAGTTACTGGGGGAAAATCGTGAAAAAAGTCAATAGAGATCATGTCAGGACATTGCCATTTTTATCAGCTAGTAAGAAGAAACACACCTATTTGGGCTTCTCTCTTTCCCCTCCTCTTCGTGTTTCCTGTACAGGAAGCCCTCATGTTGAACGGTGTGGGCAGGAGGCTGAGGTGTGGATGGGACGCTCTGAGCAGGTGCAGAACGGGACCTACGTGGCTCCTCAGGCTCTTTTGGACGAGGTCTTCGTCGTGGTTTGGGGCGGTCTCGAGCTCGAGGGCGATCCAGACGGCTCACTGGTGCAGAGAGGCTGCTGGAGGGTCTGTACACCTCTCCTCTCGCCTGAAAAATACACTTTGTGAATGTACGAAGCAGAATCGTTTATTATAAGAAAACAAAATAGTAAACTATTAAAACAAAAAAAAATTGGTTGTATATGGAAATTAGGCGTGTTGTGCATCACATTGTCAAATCTTCCATCTCCAAATAAAAATATATAAATACTGTCTCTGCATAGCAAAGTCAAAGTCTGCATAAGATCATTCTTACCTGAACAATAAAATGTACAGAGATACTTAAAGAGTTTGAGCTGCTGACTAAAATGTTTGGGGATCAGTCCCAAGTTTCAGAGGATGCAAGGTGACCCAGAAAGTGGAGAATTACTGAGATCACAATTCTGCTCTATCACTATTGTGCCCTTGAGCAAGATACTCCAGAGGCACTGTACCTGAGGTGAGTCTACTCTTACTTCTCTTTGCGTGACACAAATGGTAGAAAAATCCTCAAACTGTAAACTTTAGCGGTGTGTGGACTGATTTTCTTCAAAACAAGAATCGCCTGAACATTCACTTCTGCCTAAAAGTTTGGGGTCATTAAAGGGTTAGTTCACCCAAAAATTAAAATTAGCCCATAAATTACTCACCCTCAAGTCATCCTAGGTGTATATGACTTTCTTCTTTCAGACGAATCCAGTCGGAGTTATATTAAAAATTGTCTTTGATCTTTCAAGCTGTTTAATTGCATGCATCAGTCCAAAAGCAGTTAAATAAAATGCGCCCATCCATTAAAAAAAAAGTGTCTCACATGGCTCCGGGGGGTAAACAAAGGCCGTCTGTAGCGAATCGTATATCGAATCGAAGCGTTTTTGTAAGAAAAATATCCATATTCAAAACATAATAATCACTTTAATGTAGCTTGCACTCACTGTTGTAAAGGGAAGCAGTTCCGGGTGGATGACGTATGAGGTCAGTGCTGCGCATGCGCCGGTGAGTCTCGTGAAAACCAACGTTTGTTAACAGGAGTAAAGGAAGCAAAGTTTCCTTACTTTAGCAAAGGAAAACCAGTCTCCTCTTGGCTTATATCGAAATCCTCCGACATTCTTCTTTACAAATCCTCGTTTTGTACTTCTAATAAGTGACCGTTGTTTTGTTTTGATCTCTCCCCTGCGCTTCCGTGTGTGTCACTTCTGAGCGGCGCATGCGCAACGCTGACCTCATACGTCATTCCCCCGGAACTGCTTCCAGTGTACAACAGTGAGCGCAAGCTACATTAAAGTGATTATTATGTTTTGAATATGGATATTTTTCTTACAAAAGCGCATCGATTCGCTACAGAAGGCCTTTGTTCACCCCCCTGGAGCCGTGTGAGCCGTGTTTTTTTTTTTATGGATGGGTGCATTTTATTTAACTGCTTTTGGACAGATGCATGCAACACCCGCTGAGTGGCATTAAACAGCTTGAAAGATGAAAGACCATTTTTAATATAACTCTGACTGGATTCGTCTGAAAGTCATATACACCTAGGATGACTTTAGGGCGAGTAATTTATGGGCTAATTTTCATTTTTGGGTGAACTAACCCTTTAAGATTCAAAATATATTTAAATAGAAAAATGTTATTAAAAATTATTATTACTGTTTTTACTGTATTTTTGATTAAATACATGCAACCTTAGCATCAACTGTATGAGTTAAATTCATTCAAAACCTTTAAAAAATCATACCGACCCCAAACATTTGAACGGTAAAGTATTACTAATTGTGTAGATGATTCATTAAAATGGTGAGGGGGAATATGATGCATGATGTGAATTAAATCTATGATAAATATTAAATTCCAGTACAGACTCAACACATACTTGACAAGCTTCTTTCTCCTGCACTTGCTCAACAATCTCAGCCATAGTGGAACGCTTCTCCCTAAAAAAAAAAAAAAAAAGGTTGAGAAAGCCAACTAAGTTATACAAATAAGAGAACACACGCATACACACACACACACACATTTGTTATTTTATCATGGCGGGAACTTTGACTTCTATGTTTTTATATTGGGCTATTTCTATTTTCTATACTGAAAACTTTTTTATTTTTATTTTCTATATACTATTATTAATATTTTTAATTAGGTTTCCTTTTAATTTGTCATTTAGCTTTATTTCTATTTCAGTTTTATTTTAGTAATTTTAGCACTTCATCTTATTTTATTTCAGTTGGTTGTCACGGCAGCGTTTCTAATTTTCAGATTTTATTCCAGCTTTATTTCAATTACTGAAATGTATACAGTATATTATCATTTTAAATAAACAAGGGCAACACTTTTAGTTAAAAGTTTTAGTTAACAATAACAACACTTCATTACTTTTGTTTATTAAGCTTCATTGATACTGTTGGCTGATTTCAGGTTTTACTCTCCTCATGTGGATCTTTAACACTTACCCAAACAGTAAACGTACCCCTAAAAGCAAACGTTTTGGTTTTTAGAATAAAATTTCCTTTGCATAATTTAGGAACTATTTTTACATTTAAGGCATCTCAGAAAGGAGGTTTTGTTCCCAAAATATAGCCAAGCAAACACATATACACAAACACTCACCCAGATGGTCTCTTGTCAGATGGCTCTTTTCCAGATTCTGCATCGCTGGAGTCATGTTTCTGTACTCTCTGCTTACCGCTGCCCTCCTGCTCACTAGACGACTGTCTCTCCATTCTTCGACGGTAGCGTTCCTGCCTTACAATCAGCGGGAGCTCGTTAAGTCGTGCCTGGATCTCCTGCTCGCTGGAGGTCTGTCGGCCAAGCCGGTACTCTCTCTCCCGCCTCAAGTGATCCATTTGCGGGTCAGATCGGCTCCCGCGAGGGTCTCTCTGTAACCGGCTGTGGATCATCTCCAGGGAGGGGTCCAGGCCCATAGGAGGAGCTGGCATGTTTGCTGCTCCACCGGCGAGCTGGGCTCGGTGCGCCTCCAGTAAAGGTGGAACAGCTTTGTGAATGTGGTTGATTTTGGGCTGAAAGCAATCAGCTTTCAGGTGCTGCCAAGCATATCCCATTTTGGGCTCCACTCCCACCCCCACAGCACCTAAATGGTTTAGGCTGTGGTAGCTGGAGCTGTCTTCTGCTAAAACACCCTGTTGGTTAAGTCCAGTGTAGCTGGAGCTGTTCACCCCCAAGACACCAACTTGTTGGTTTAACCCCTGATAGCTAGAATTATCCAACCCTGAAACAATTTGTTGTTTTAGCCCATGGTAGGAAAGACCCTCCGCCATGGCCCCTGATGGCTGGTTCAGCCCGTGGTACGAGGAGCCGTTCATGACGGGCGTGTAAGGGTTCAGGGTGGAGCCGAGCCGCTGAGCGAGTGTGTTCACCATGGTGTGTTCTGTGGTGTGCATGAAGTCCGGCCCGGGCTTGGACTCCAGAAATGAGTCCTGAAGAGGGTTACGGAAGAGAGAGGAGGATGAAGACGAGGAAGAGGAGCTGGGCACAAGACAGGAGAGAGGGAACATCTGCCTGCTGAGGAGAGAGGAGGTAGACGGCTGCTTGTTCAGTTCCTCCTTCATTTTCTCTGCCTGCAGATGGAGAAGAGAGAGAAAAATATTGTAGATCTTAATTTTATGTTATTTATATGCAGGGCCAGCTCCACGTCAACCGAACAATCCTGCCCCCTCAGTCACGGTTAATGAGAAAAGGGATTTTAATGGATAAAAAAAGTCACAATTACCAAGTGCATTAGCTTTCTAACATTAATATTAGATTACTACACAGCAACATCTTAGTTTAGGACAGTGTTTCACAAAGTCACATTTTGATGGGCACATTTGAACCTACAGGTGCAAATTCAATGCACACAGACTGAAGTAGTTTAAGTCTTTGGTTCTTTTAATTGTGATGATTTTGGCTCACATTTAACAAAAACCCACCAATTCACATCTCAACAAATTAGAATACTTCATAAGACCAATAAAAAAAAACAATTTTAGTGAATTGTTGGCCTTCTGGAAAGTATGTTCATTTACTGTACATGTACTCAATACTTGGCGATGCACCTGTACATTGCATTGAACTTCCCATGCCATTAAGAATGCATATTTACGGAGAATGCAAAAGGTATGATGAAGTATTTTTTTCATGTTCAGTGAGCTTGATATTTGGTCGTAATTAGTTTATTTCACTGCATTGTTATTGTTGTCTCGGTTGCAGTTCAGGCTGTTCTCACTTACCATTATGCATCTGTTAAATGGGTCGCAATGAGTGTGAAGCAGTCACAAAGTACTGTAGACACAATTAAATATATTTGGTTGTGGTGGTATCATGGTAACTTGTCTGTATTCAGGCCTGATGAAAATGTGTATCTTTAAGACAGATCTGGTGTTCTAAAACACATTTTTTTTAAATGTTGACCTAGGCAATTTTCCTTTTTTTTTTATTTAGTAATATTATTCAATGCTTTCCTATCTGTTAGTTGCTCAGTAGCTTTTAGTTTCATAGCTGTAGCAACAGCAGGTTTGTTTATGCCAGACAAATACACGAATGGGCCACTTCACATATAGCAGGGGATGTAACTCTGCGTTATGTCATTAGCCCCTTTTGTTACTTCAGACCCTCTGCAGTGCTGTGCTGGTGCTGACTGTTTATACACAAGTCTGTTTCCATAATGACCTGGCGTAACGAGCTGAAATGATCCTTCCACGTGGACGCGGCCTTCCGGAATGCTTCATGCCGGCGAATCAGCTCCTCCACCTCGTCTGTCCCGCCACCTGCCTCACGGGTATTTGGAGTGATTGGTTCCTTGATTGTGAGCCAGGACTGCTCTGCCGATCCCGGCTGGTTGGACTGCAGCCTCTGCTGGGCTGGAGGGTACAAATAAAGGTTGTGGATAACTCTGAGAAAGTATCAGACTGGCAGACATTTAACATGATGTTAAAACAATGTCATCACTGACCTTGCTGAAGCTTCTCCCAGTGCTGTTCCCATCGCTCATTCAGATCTTTCTGCTTTGCCATGATATACTCCAGCTTCTCCTTTACCTAGATCGGTGGGTATGCAATTATTTATGAGCAGAACACTGATGGCAAGTGATCCATGCTCAATGCAAAATGCAAAAATGTATGCAAACGTGCAGTATGCAAGAGAAACAAAATTTCAATCCTTAGACCTTTACACTACTGTTCAAAAGTCTGGCGTCAGTATTTATTGATTTTTTCAATACTTTTAGTTAGTATGGAGGACGCATTATTTTGAAGGTAAAGACATTTATAATGTTACAAAAGATTTCAAATTTCAAATACATTCTGTTCATCTAAGAATCCTAAAAAAATCTTGATTTCCACAAAAACAACTCAGCAAATCAGAATGATTTCTGAAGGATCATGTTACACTGGACAAGTAATGGCTGAAAAAAATATATTTTTGCCATCACAGGAATGAGTTACATTTTAAAATATATTCAATATTATTTTAAATGTGAATAATATTCCACAATATTACTGTTTTTACTTTATATTTTATCAAACCCTTGGTGAGCATGATGTTTAAAAAAAAAAAAAAAAAAAAACTTTCAAACCTCAAATTTTGAATGGTATTTTGTGTCAAATGTTTTAATAAAAATCAGCCCCTGTGACATTAAGCTCAGATAAACCCATAATCCATATAAAGGCAAACTTTAAGACATGAGCCTGGCCATTTATGTTTTTGGAAAATGCCTTATGATATGATGCCGTGAGCACTGTAAACTTTGACAAATCCAGCATTTTTTTTTTTTTTTTTTTTTTTAAGTATTCTTCTACCTTCTAAAAACACTTATAAACACTATGCGAGTCTACATAAATTGTCATTTATGCACAATTCATTTGGCAATATGGAAAGGGACAAAAATTATACTCTTAAATGTAACTTTTTTTTGTTTGTTTTTTTCTCCTTTTTATATCAGTAGATTTTTAAATTACATAGTAATTAAAATAAAGTTAAGCTTATCGGGTTAACTTTAGTTCCATGTATGTGTTTGTACGTTTTAAGGCGTGCACATAGAGGGTTCAGTGTTTGAGTTTGTGTGTACCTCTTCAGCTGCAGGGTTGCGTGCAGCGAGCAGCATCTTTCCCATCTCCACGCAATGCACAAAGTTTTTGCTCTTGTTATCTATCTTACTCTTCAGATTCTGATGTTGGGACATCATGCCATCCAGCACAGAGAGGTCCCTGACACGTACACAAGGACCCGCCGCCCAACACCAAGACCCACGCCCAGACACAAACAAAAAACATGCACACACATTATCCTGATGCATCTGTGATTGGTTTAAATCCAATTGTAGATTCAGGATGACTCAGATGGTTCTGTAATTGATCTGGTACCTGGCATCATTAGTCGAGCCAATCTGTCCCATTATTCCATCCATCCACATGTTCAGTTCCCGGACCACAGCGAAGAACTGGATCTTATCGGTTACTGTGGTGATCTGCACACGGCTGCCCTCACATGCAACAAGGAGCTCTTTCCAGGCCTGCATCACTTCCTGCTCACGGGACAAAATGGCATCTGCCTTCTCTCCGGCATAAATCGCACGCAGCTGAACTGCGTTTTCTTGCAGTTGGCGTACCTGAGATAAAGGTAAAAACAAATGTAAAAATTACTTGTATCTGTTTACTGACACTTAGGGGCATCTCAAAATATTTGTCACTTAAAACATTTACTAAAACTATTAAAACAATTTAAATTTAATTTAACTCATTCTGATAGGTATTTTATAGAAGCTTGTTTCAACCATGGGATAGAAAAATAAAAAAGGTAATTGAGATTTTTTATCTCACAATTCTGACTTTTTTTTTTTTTTTGCGAGATACACTCAGAATTGTGAGATATAAACTAAGAATTGTGAGAAAAGTCATCAGAATTGTGAGTTTAAAAGTCACAATTATGTTTTTTATTTTTTATTCAGTGGCAGAAACCAAAGAACAAATGCAAGATGTAAACTCAGAGGAAAAAAACGTCAAAACTGCAACCAGTCTAAACACTTATTTATCGTGGCTGCTGCACCTGGTCAGAACAGGTGATGTTGTTTTGTGTGTGTGTGTGTGTGTGTGTGTGTGCTAGTGAGAGTCTTACCTGTGAGACCAGCAGCTGCAGGGAGTGCTCAAAAGAGTGCAGGAGTCTCTGCAGTGTGCCAGGGTTGGCCGAGCTCACCTGACATGACCTCACCTCTGGCAGCTGTCTCATCTTTCCTTCAATCTGGACCAGCACCTACAAAACACAAACACAGACACAATGATGATTCCTCATATTTCAGGCAACTGTGAATGGGTTTCAAAAAAACGTGTTTTAATGGCTGTATGTGTGCTTGTTTACCTCCTGACAGTCGGTGAAGAACTTGTGTAGCTGGTACGAGGCTGCAAGCATCTGCGCTCTAGTCTCCATGAGCTCCAGAAGATCCGCCCAGGACTCATTCAGCCCATCTTTCCACTCTGCAATGGTGGCAGCATCAGAGTGACTGCAGTCAATCATCTCATTCACCATCTTATTGACTGAATCCATCTGTTTCTGGCCGACTGCACGTGTCTCAGTGGAGAACTGAGTAAAGCTGCTCTGCAGAGCCTGGGAAAATTAAACAGAACCAAAACGACATGTCAGAGATCAGCTCACAGAGGCTTCAACAGGGGAAAACAACAGCACAGGACTTGATTTTATCCATTTGCAACATTAAATCTGATATCACATTAACTATTGGCAAGAGTTTAGGAAGGCTGCATTTTCATTCAACAGTAGCCTATACAGCTTTTAGTTTTTTTGGTTAGCATTACTTCCAACCAAAGTGACATTAGCAGAAAAGGAAAATTCTTTCAGTGGCAGAATAATGAATAGGGGGATTAATAAAGTAAACAGGTTCAATATTGATCTCATCTCGATTTTAAAGTTGATGTCAGTATATATTACATCCTTGAGTTCAAAACACTTGACAGTGTGTGTGTGTGTGTGTGTGTGTGTGTGTGTGTGTGTGTGTGTGTGTGTGTGTGTGTGTGTGAGGGGGTCCGGTTCATTTTCGGGTGAACTATACCTTTAACCCAACATTCCTGAGTATTGTCATTTAATTTATAGATGGACCGAGTTTTAGGTACAGTACATACGTTTCCTTTCTCCTCATTAAGGACCTGAAGTTTCTGTCCACTGAGCCAAGACTCTGCCTTCGCTGCCTGGGTGTAGTACTGCTGGGCATGGTTCACGGCATCCAGCATCACTGTGCGACGTTCCATCTCTACCTGGAGCACCTCCCACAGCTGCCTCACATGCCCCGCCCCTTCACGCACAAGCTCCACCTCTGGGGTCCGCAGGGCGGCAATGGCCTCCGCCCTTTCCAGCACCTCCTCGACCCGCCCCCTCTGAGCCTGCATCTCCGTCTGCAGTGCCTGCATGTCCAATCATACACAAGTGAGCTGTCAGTCAAAGCTCTACGGCCAACTAAATTACATTACTGGAATCAGAAGCCATGAGAACCAGGCTATCAAGGGCAGCTGAATTAAATATATTCAGGCTTAAACCCCAATTGTATCCAGAAATTTGTAATAAGACTAATGATACATCAAACAACGACAGGTAATTAATAATTAATTAATAGTTGGCTTTTAACCATTGATGTAAGTTTCCATCATTTATGAGACGATTCCCCGCCACTGACAGAATTCTTTCTGTGTTTTCACTGTTATACAGTAGGAGGCGCTATAATACACCTTCTGAAAGAGTACTGAATTCCTGGATCAAAACACGGCGAAGAAGAAGCAGAAACAAACGATCACGTATGTAAGCAGATGCATATGTAAAATACCACAATCATCAAGCATTAAACAGCATATAAATCAAAAATGATAAACTTTGTTTTATTTTGTTTAAAAGCAGAGGCTCTGCTCTTTCTTTTGACATATTGCAAGTTCAGATATTCATACAACTAAATATTTTATTCATGGGGGCCATGAAAATTTTGTGAAAATGATAAAAACGCTGGCAGTGGCTGGCAACTTAAAAAAAAAAAACAATGGCGGGGAAAGAGTTAAGGCCAGTTCAAACCAGATGTATTATAGTTAACTAAAACTAAAACAGTAATTAAAATAAAAATTTTAAAAACTATTTCATTACAGTTACACATCTCATTTTCTTTTAGTACAACTCTAAGTACTAAAATACCTAAAATAGCATGAAAACAAAAGCTTATAAATTAAAATAAATAAAAACTACAGACATATTTTTTTTTAAATAATAAAAAATGACAAAAACAACAAAATTACTCAAAGCTGAACTCAAATTAAAGTAGAAAACAGAAAATATAAACATTTAAAATATTAATAAAACTATACTAAACTATTAGTGTTAATGATACTTAACTGCTTTTACACCAAGAATGATTACTATAAAGATGACTAAAACAATAACTATATTAGGATTGACACCAATGATAACATTCTGTTTGTTATAAGTGTGTGCTGCAGCTGTCGCCTGCTGCTTTAAATGCATGAGCTCTTTAAAGTCAAGTGGATTCTGATTGGCTGGCAATGTTTGTTATTGTTCATCAGATGGAAAAAAATTGTTTGAAAATGATTTCAACAATATTGTTGCTTTGTGTTGTCATACATGTAGTTATAGTGTGGACTTCCCTTTTCTCATAGAAGTACAACAATTATTAAAACACTGTTATTGTTATATTGTCCTTGATGTGAGCGGTCCTTTACAAATTAAGATGATAATCAATCCAACTGATTAAAGATTACTGAGTGAATTGATTGACAGACTCCAAAAGGCATTTGTATCATATTTGGCTCTTGGTCTATAAGATACATCAATTCCCAGACCTCTCATTTACTCTGCTCCCTCTGTCTTTTATAGTCTTATTGTTAACAGATGCTGGCAGGAAATATCTTCTTACATCATTTTATGAACGTACAAATAACGTACATGAGCATACAATGTAGAAGTTACATCAGATGAGTTTCATTATATCTGATGCATCTAGTGTCCCAAAACGAGACAAAACCTTCACTGTCTCAGTGCAAAGTGTAGTACTGACTTTTAAGTCACGTGATCAATGCTAACCCTTCAAACGGTTTAGACGGACACTTCTTCCTAAAAATTGTGGGTAGGTGGGTATATGAAAACTTAATGAAAGTGATATAAACTTTGTGTGCATGTTCTGGCATTCATAATGACTTAAGGCTTGAAACTAAAGTTGTTAATTTAACACAATAATTTAGTGACTAACTGTAAAAAAAGGGAGCATATCCCACTGTGATTGTCTATTCTTTATCACAGAAACACCCCTGCCTGTCTGAGAATGTACTAGAATCGTGTCCTATATCAGAGTTTAGAAAAAGATACAATAGTTTTTATTTTAACTTTAGTCTCACCTTATGGTTAATGATTAAATGTTGGACACTCTGCAGATTGGTCCCATATTCTGTAGATGAGGCCAAAAGTAACCGATCCTGAATCCATACCTAAAGAAGCCAAAATACAGAAATGTGAATGTGTAAACAAATGTGATATTATGGTCTATAAGATACATCAATTCCCAGACCTCTCATTTACTCTGCTCCCTCTGTCTTTTATAGTCTTATTGTTAACAGATGCTGGCAGGAAATATCTTCTTACATCATTTTATGAACGTACAAATAACGTACATGAGCATACAATGTAGAAATTACATCAGATGAGTTTCATTATATCTGATGCATCTGGTGTCCCAAAACGAGACAAAACCTTGTCTCAGTGCAAAGTGTAGTACTGACTTTTAAGTCACGTGATCAATGCTAACCCTTCAAACGGTTTAGACGGACACTTCTTCCTAAAAATTGTGGGTAGGTGGGTATATGAAAACTTAATGAAAGTGATAGAAACTAAAGTTGTTAATTTAACACAATAATTTAGTGACTAACTGTAAAAAAAGGGAGCATATCCCACTGTGATTGTCTATTCTTTATCACAGAAACACCCCTGCCTGTCTGAGAATGTACTAGAATCGTGTCCTATATCAGAGTTTAGAAAAAGATACAATAGTTTTTATTTTAACTTTAGTCTCACCTTATGGTTAATGATTAAATGTTGGACACTCTGCAGATTGGTCCCATATTCTGTAGATGAGGCCAAAAGTAACCGATCCTGAATCCATACCTAAAGAAGCCAAAATACAGAAATGTGAATGTGTAAACAAATGTGATATTTTCTGAATAATATTTAAGTGGTACTTACCCATGCAAAAATTACAGACTGACATTATGTCACTATGCATTTTGAAAAATCGCATCAGAAACGAACAATGGAAATACCAAATTTCTGGGAAAAAAATCCCTTCATTTGCAAAAACGTTTGTACGCCACATGCTTGAGGTGGTTTAAAAGTCATGTGACTTGTCTGATGGGATGGCATAACTTGACTAACCAGCGGACCGATCTCGTTGCACAGCATCTGAAATGTTATGGTCATTCTGAAATGCCTGAGATACATTCCCAAACAGCAGGCATCCACCTCCGAAAGCAATGACTGCATTTATTGTGTTTCATCTGCTCGCCCTGAGGCACAAGTAGTTTATCATATGTGACCCTGGACCACAAAAGTCTTAAGTCGCTGGGGTTTATTTGTAGCAATAGCCAAAAATACATTGTATGGGTCAAAATTATAGATTTTTCTTTTATGCCAAAAATCATTAGGACATTAAGTAAAGATCATGTTCCATGAAGATATTTTGTAAATGTCCTACTGTAAATATATCAAAACTTAATTTTTGATTAGTAATATGCATTGCTAAGAACTTCATTTGGGCAACTTTAAAGGTGATTTTCTCAATATTTAGATTTTTTTGCTCGGCCAAATATTTTCCTATCCTAACAAACCATACATCAATGGAAAGCTTATTTAGCTTATTCAGATTTCAGATGATGTATAAATCTCAATTTCGAAAAATTGACCCATATGACTTTTGGTTTTGTGGTCCAGGGTCACATATGCAAAAATTATAATATACAGTGGCTTCTTCTACTTTTCTTAACGATATTTAGTGCCAGTTTATCAGGAAGTGATGATTTTTTTACTTTTTGACTTGTTGGATGTTGACGGTGCTTTATTCATAAATGTTTTATGCGATATTCCAATTTTGCGCATATGTTAAATTTGCAACTTTGGTTGGAAACATAGCTATCGTGTGTTTTGGAGTGCCACTTTGTTCTTTTACACATGAACAGCTCATGGTCCAGTGTTTTTAGGGGCTCAGAGTGGCTCAGTTCAACTAAACTCGTCTAAGGATGTGCTGTGAGCTTGGGTCACCTATAAAGGGCATTTAGGAACGCAACCATCTTCCCAAACCAGTACAGAAAAATGCTTACAAATCAGCTGTTGTCAACAAAAAAGCTCCCTGTGGTTTACAACAAAATAAAAGCTTGATAGGTTAATATTTAAAAATTAAGAAATTAAAAAAGCCAAAAGCATTAGTATTTTACAGTTGACTTTTATCAAAGTTGAAGTTTAAAATGTTTTAATTTGTTCATTTTGTTTCAGTAATAATAATAAGGAATAATATGATGAATATTATTCTTATATATTTATACTGATATATAATCACAAACTATATGGCGAATAGAAAGTGACACTCACAATCTCATCCTCCAGGTCCTGGGTGACTTGGTGCAATTCTTTTGAGGCGAGAAGTATCCGCCTCCTTTCCTTCAGAGGCTCGATAAGACGCACAATTCGGGTCTCCGTCACACCTACTTGCTCTTCTCTTTCTTGTCTCCGGTGATCAGCACCAGCCCTGACTTCACCAACACCTTGATAAAGCTGCATCTGGGCTTCCATTGACTAAGAAATGAAGATAACATGAGATTACAAAATGGATTTGCAATTTTCCAAATCAAAAAAAAAAAAACACTTTTGCAGGTCTCACTTGTATCCTCTGGAGTTGCTGGCTGAAAGTGGGGCGCGGCTGAAGGAGGGTGGGTTGGGTGCTGTGGGTGGAGCCTAGTGTGGGCGGCTGCTCCTGTATGGCGGTGAGATGCTGGTCCAGGTCGCTGAGGGTGTTAGTGGGCAGGTCGATAGTGCGGTGGTTCTGCGTTTCAAACAGCTGGCGGGCCTTGACTTTGGTGGTGTTCTCCAGGTGAGACCAGCACTCTCTGATTTCCTTCAACTTCATCTCCACTACTGATCGCAACTCGGGCTGTTCCTGGATCAGCTCCTCGCCCTCCTATACATACAAATGTAACATAATCCATGAACGTGTTACTGCTCTGACCCTCAACCTTCATCCTTGCCAGTTTATGCCTGTGTGTGTATGTGTAAGATGGAAAGGGATCAAAGTAAAGAGAGTCTCTGTCTCTTCAGAGCCATGGCTGAAGTCCAGCCTCCTAAAATAGGGCCCCATCACACACACACACACACACACACACACACATATACACACACACTCACGGTCTCTCTCTCTCTCTCTGCATCAGTGTGTAAAGCTTCATTCTTCTCTGCAGAAACACATGAAATTAAATTCACTCCTGATTCTCTTTTCAAAACGATCTACATCCCTCTTTCCGTCACTGTGTGTGTGTGTACACGTGTGCATGTCCATACGTGTGTGCGTTTGTGTTTTATAATGCAGTGCAGCATTTCTCCTCTTGGCACAAGTCGCCTGCTCCCCTGTACTGCAGAGGGAAAGAGTGTGTGAGAGATGGAGAGAGAGAAACAGATGGAGAAACAAAGGGAGAACAGAGAAAGGAACAGGAAAAAAGGGGATGCTTGGATGGAAAACAAAAAGATGGAGAAGAAGATGAAACTGAAGGTGGAAATTAAAATCTATGACAGATAGATGGATGCTGAAGTATTCTGACTGGTTGTTAAGCATTGCTAGGGTGTTCTAGCTGGTTGCTAGGCATTGTTAGATGCCTTAGCTGGCTGCTACAATTTTCTGAAGGCGATCTGGCTGTTTGTGCCAGTTGCTAAGGAGTTCAAACCATACGGTTCCAACCGTATATGTAGATGTCTTATTAGCTGCTGTTTCTATGGGCTGCTATACATAAGCTGTCTGCCATATTGTCCGTGAACACTCGAGAGCAAGCTGACTGTGCGTCTGCAACCTTGGTTATATGCACGTATATCTATATCTGCAACAGACTTCAGCAGATGATTTTGCTAAACTAACACAATACAACAAGAAGAAGCCGTTAGCTAACACAATGTGAAAAACTTAACCTGTAATATTGAATTAATATATAGTAAAAACACAAACCAATGTATTCTCACCTATGAAAGTTTATCCCATTTCTTAAGGAATTTTAATTTAGTCATTTTTTACAACCAGAGGCTGTGCAATGTCGAGCCATCTTGGAAAACTCCAATTTTTATTGTGAGTGATGACACATTTACTGTTACAAGATGACGGATGCTTTAACGTGTCTGAAACGGCCGATTGTGGCATCTATCTATACATAGACCATAGCTACGGTTCAAGCTGATTGCTAGGCATTGCTCAGGTGTTGTGGGTGGTCTCTAGGAACTGCTAAGGTGTCTTAACTCGCAGGTGTTCTAGTTAGTTAACTCTAAGGTTGGCTAAGGCAGTCTGGCTGGATGCTAGACATGGTTAAGTGGTTGCTAAACAAATTCATACAGCTAGATGAGAGAGACAGACATCTAAATAGATGAATGACAGACACCATTTAAATAAAACCATTAATATTTCAGCAATGAATTGGAGTAGAAACATTATTATAGCATTAAAATGTTTATATAAAAGCTGCTGTATGTGAAATTTAGATGTTTGCATTTTTATTTGAGTGTTGATTATTATATATATGAAATTATACAATTATTGTTTATGACTATGTATTTCTGATGTTCTTAATAATTGAAATTTCCATTGTTATACAATTGAAAGTTAATTGGTGGAGTAGATATTGATGATTGATAGGATAAACTATAGGTTTGTATAATAGTGATAAATATGTGATCCTAAATAACTATTGTTTTAGTCACGGGTATATTGTGAGGTGTACTAGTGGATGTGACGTTTTGTGTTGGATATATATATATTTAAATTGTCCAAGGTTTTAGTGGAAATGATTTAATGATTGTGGTAATTGAACATTGGCTAATGAATGATGACGTCAATATAATTAGTGATTTGAAAAGTGTATAATTAGTATATTTCCTATACTAAGTAACTCAACAGATTGACGCACCTAAATAAAAAGATCAAGTAACGCAAGAGCGCAGTGCAAACGACGTTGTTAGATTATTATATATATAACATAATTTTAATTTTAGAGGTAATTTTAACCTCTAATATTACAGTGATGTACCATCTGACAGGATACTTTATATATTTTACAGCATTAGTTGAGAGATTTTTTTGCTTAAAAAAGCTGACCTACTGCACCTGATATATTTGTAGATAGATTGATAGATAGATTAGACTTAATTAGTATTTCAAATAACTTAATCTGCATATGTGTGTGTGCAAGAGACAGAGAAAATTTGAGGCTAAAACTATTATTTTGCACAATATAGTACATCATGTGTTCTTGTGAATGGCCTGGTGAAACAAGGAGGCAAGGTCAGCTCGAAGGACATCATCGTGTCCTGTGATTGGTCGAGCCGCCTGTCTGTCATTGAGGATGCTGAGCTGAGTGAGTCTGGAAGTGGGGGAGGGGGCGGGAACTCTTCCAGAAGGACGAAGAGTTCTCCAATCACAGTGGGACTCGGTGTCATTGCTTCTGCTGTTTCTCAGGTTACAGCTTCATTAACACGCGTTTCTGCGGCTACGTACCACTATCTTGAGTGTGTTTGTGTGTGATGCTGTAATTGCTCTCAAGTCAGGCAGCTCCTCAGAGCTTCAGAAATCAGGTTGGGGAAATACTGGCAGCCATCTTAGTTCAGCCAAACAAAAATAAGTGCTAAAAATTAAGAAACTTTCTCCTGCAAAACATGACATATCTGACAATATTTCTGACACATATTGGAATCAAAGAGGAAACAAATAGTATTTTTTTAATTGTTAATTTGCTTAATTTTTGAGTGCTAAAGAGATTTCAGGTCAAATTCAGAGCCCTCCATCACTGAAAATGATTAAGGATAATATGAAACTTATGAACTTATGAATTTGAGGTAATAAAGCTTATTATAATGGTATCCTATGTTTCTTAATTATAAATAGCACCAAACTTCATTCAGTCATACACGGAAGAAACATGAGAAGAGAAAACAAGGCCAAAACAGAAAGATAGCAGGCCCACAACATCTAATAAGACATTCAGACATGTTGTAATTCAGAGTATTGCGGTACAAATCCACCACAGGAACACAGTGACGAATCAGCAACAAGGCATTTGAGATATTATTAACCAAATCATCAATGCAGCATAATGCATCTGAAATTTCTAGTCAGAGCTGGATTGTTTACCACTATTCCATTAAGACAGAAACCTTTGTGGAAGAGCTCCTTCACCTATGTTTAGATCTTCTTGCCATCACAACCGCAATATAACACAAAAATAGAGAAAACACACTTGCAACACTACCACATACTAGCATCTCGGTCCACACAGCATCATACAGCTACCATAAAATCACACACACATATGCCACTTCATGGATTCAGATAATGAATTCATATTTTGCACAGTTGGTTTCGGTTTTGTACATGTTTTTGAGACAATTCAGCACAACATTTAGCACATCATTGAGGCTGATTCTCAGCTTTCCACCCACTGTCAACATGAAAGAAGAACAGTAGCGGCATCTACGCAGTCATACAGCGACACACAATGCATCGTGTCATGGTTCCTTGCCATTTTCTGTGATCAGCAATACTAGCAAATATCCCATTAATACCCATCATACCTTTAGACTGATTTACATGATACTAATCATATTAATGTCCCTGCCATCACACAAGGTGCTCTATGGTTTCAGACACTTCACAGTGCCATTCGAAACCCAGCCATCACACTTCAGCTGCACCGGGATGTCCTGTTATGTATTAGGCCATGATAAGCAATCTTTCAGGACAGCATGTACCGGATCAGAACAGGTCACCTGGGATCAAATATTGTATTGCAGGGCATCATAAGGCACCATAGACCAACTGAAACCGAACATGTTATATAACATCTAATGGCAAGTGACATTTAAAAAATAAGATAAGAAATAAGATCTTAAATGGGAACACACCGAAAATGTTAAAATTCTAGTTGACACCAATAAGCTGATAATTGGCTGATAACTAATACAAGGCCAATAACACACGGAAATCTAAAATCAACATTTGTCATCAATGTCAGATCAGTGTTTTGGTTTTTAAGCGAATGTAAGCATCACAACATTACAATATGGATAGCCATTTATTTTGAGAATGTGAAATGTTCTATAAAAGTGAGATAGCATCCTTCAAGAAACTGTGAAACTGTAGTTGTAACGTAGTGTTACATCTATAAGTTAGGTGACTGCAAAAGTAATCTAAAATAAAAAATGGTATATTGTATAAATGAGTATGCATACCTAAATATCCAATACCCATTAAAAACAATATATGTAAAATGTATTTAACCTTTTTATTAATTAGTAAATATGGAAGTACTTATTTAGCACTATTATATGATGTTGTTTAGCACAACGGTCAATGATTGTTGTTTTTATTGTGCTTTAAAAATAAAATTGACTGAAAAATCTTTTTGCTTTGCTCATACTAAATTTATTTGTTGATTTAAATACACAACAATAAAAAACATGCTTCAAATGCCTCAATGGTTTCAGGTAGAAACACTGGACATGGGAAATATAACGAAGAGAGAAGAAGAAATCCTGCACACTGCTATGTGTGCCATGTCTCTGCTTTTAGACGCCTGATGAAGGTTGCATAATTGAAAATTTGCTGTTTCAACAAACGTTGGATTTCCTGCAATCTATGGCAATTTTGGTTTTTTTTTCTTATCTCAACACTGGTTTAAGAAAAAAAAAACATGCATGATTACAGAGGACACTATTCACTCCTTTTTGAATAAACATCCCAAAGTCTACACCTATATGTCAGAATCTGTCATCAGTTCATCTCCAATCAACCCCAAATTTGTTCATCTCCAATCAACCCCTCAACCAACCATCAAGCATTCCCCTCAAATCTATTCTCCGTTCATCCTCAATCAAGGCCAAAAGCCCTCAACTAAACCCCAACCAAAGCTAAATCTGTACTCGGCCCATTCATAATCAATTTTCAATTCAAAATCTTTTTTCAACCAATCCTGAATCTTTTCTCAATTCATTCTAAACCATTCCTGAATCTTCCCTCAACAGATCCTGAATCTGTTCTCAGTTTTCAGCTAATAACACAATTTAACACAAGTCTTATTTCCTTCATACTTCTCATGCGCTCTAAATTCAACTGAGAATTCATACTGACTCGGTAATGCTTTCCACAATTCCCAGGATAAAGGTAAGGTCTAGGAACAGCATTTACATTTATTAACCAAGAGACACCAAGTCACCAAGGCTGCATTTATTTTGATCAAAAGTACAGTAATATAGTGAAATATTATTACAATATTATAACAGTTTTTTATATATTTTAAAAAGCAATTTATTCCTAAATATTCAGCAGTCATTACTCCAGATGCCAGAGACACATGATCCATCAGAAATCACTCTATATGCTGATTCTTATTATTATCAATGTTCAAAACAGTTGTGCTGCTTAATATTTTTGGGCAAACCATTTAAGGATTCTTTGATGAATAGAAGGTTCAAAAGAATAGCATGTATTTAAAAAATAAATCTTTTGTAACATTATAAATGTCTTTACTGACACTTTTGATCAATTTAATGCATCAATGCTGAAAAAATTTAATTCTTTAAAAAAAAATTACATCCTTATAAATTTATATATATTTATGAAGAAACTGTGCTCATAAAGCCAATGTGCTGGAAAGGAGTCAGAGCCCATGCAGTTACCTGAAAAGCACCTTATGTACAAAGTCCCCACCCATATATAATTTTTTTCCCTTCTTCTCACCATCCCATTTCTTTAATTTCGTCGCCTGTGACTCACCTGTTCGATCTTGGCGAGCCATTCTTTGTTACGGGCCAGTTCGGCCATGAAGGCCTGGTGCTTCATCCATTTCCTGTGCAGCTTCTGAGCTTCATCTCGAGCTCCATCGCGAGCTGTCAGCATCCTATCGGCCTCTGGGAGCTCTGCTCAGCTACACCATACACACACATGCACAGAGCAGTCAGCAGACAGCTACGACACATACACACTCTGTCACAATCTTTTAGCCATCATTTCCACACACACACACACACACAGCACCAGGCCCTGTACACTCCACATCAATACAACACTGCAGCACCACGAAAAACCTCTTCACCTGCACCACCAGCACACACACATCCCAAAAATGTCCAGAGCAGAGGAGAGAGCAGCACCTCAGCAGAATGTGCAGCAGCAGTGGGGTCTGGAGCTTAGGGGTGGGGGAACCACTGGGTCCTCATGTCCTCCAGGTTAGCGTCCAGGCCCCTGCAGTTCTGCTGCAGTATCCGTGCGTCAGTCCAACGGCTCAGAAAAAACAACCGGTACGCACACACGCAAGACAGACACCCACTGAAAGCACTTGGTCTCCTACAGAAACCTTCGGTGGGGCTGTTTCCTGTAAAAAAAAATCACTGCATTATAATCCTTCAAGCCACATGAGAACCAAAAGCTGCGTCTTCGCCTGCTTGCGTCCACGTCAGGGGCGAAGCTCTGGTTTCAGCGCTGCGCCCGGAATCGCTTCGCCATCCTGCTGTCGACCTGGGTGGATGGGGGGTTCGGAGGAGGAGTGGGAGGAGTCGCTGATGTGCATGTATGTTGAGGGGGGGGACAGCAGATTTAGTCACCTAAAGACACAAGTTACCCTCTTTGAATGAGCTCACGCATTTGCAAACATCGTGCTGCGGAGGATGCAACGGCTGAATGAATGCACACGTGTGCTTTTGTGGGCAGATTCTCATGTGCTCTAGTGTGATTGCAATGCAGCATGCTGCAGTCTCTCTCTCTCTCTCTCTCTCTCTCTGTCAGCGGTTAGAAAACCGCCTCAATCCTATCAACAGACTTTACTGCAGTGCCTCAGAGTGAGGGAGGGAGGGAGGGAGGGAGAGAGCAAGAAAGAGGGAGAGGCAGGGAGAACGAGAGAGAGAGGGAGAAAGGGAGGGGGTGGTAGAGGATGAGGAGAGAGAAAGGAAAAGATGAGGTTTAAGGATGGCACATTGGCTACAAAGGGAGATAGAAATACTGTGGGACAAACACACCTTGTATAGGCAGGGAAAAGGGAAAATTGGAGAGATAGGTGAAAAGAAAGGGAAGAGTAAGCGGGCAACATTTTTCAGTGTCACTAGGGACGTTTAACTGCACCACGAGGACGGGTGTGCGTGTGTGTGTGTGTGTGTGTGTTGGGGACAGTAAAGAAAGGAGAACAGATTGGTTTAGAAAACAACCACAGGGATGCTGAGGAACTGGAGGTCACAGCCTCAGCAGTAGTGTTGGGTAGTTGCCACAGGGGTGTGTGCGTGTGTGTGTGTGTGTGTGTGTGTGTGTGTGTGTG